ATGAGAGCGTATGCCACAGAAATGGTTGACTGGAAGATAATACTTACATGTACCACATGTGTTTTATTTAAAAAATAATATGCCATGGCTCTGTTAGACCCAGAGCAAGTGCTTCATGTTCCTGGACTATAGTTCTACTCATTACAATTTAAAACTCTGAAGAAAATCTCTTGTTTGCCGGTGACTTCATTGTCTGCTTGTTGATATAAGAATATCATGATAAATATATTATGCACGTTAGTCAGTACAAATACAAAATTATTACACACACTGATTACCCAGTGGATTTTGATTACATGAGATGTGTATGGCTTTGATTATTGAGGGAGGTTCCTTCCGCAGATACTTTGCTTGAGTGTGGAGAGTCCTCTACATGTCTCGCCGTATCAGAATGCTAAAACCGAGAAATTCCCTGCCTCCTCCTTTTGTTTCGAAGTGACGGAAAACTAATATCAGTGGATTTACTGTAGGAATGTAACAGACTATCACAAACTGTGACTGGTCCAGAGTGGTCATAAGCATGGGTCCCACATGCATGTGTTAACCCATTCAAGTCAGACATGAAAGACTGAAGAAAATGTAACAATAAAATATTCCTCGTTACCAGCCTGGGTCTTTTCTCTGTTAATTCAGATTACTGTTGTTATGAGGTAATGATGAATGTCATCGTGAAATTAAGAGAAAAATAAACTAAAGAAATGCATAATATCAATTCAGTTGGAGACATGCTATCTTCGTATGTTTTCTAAAAGGAAGCTCTGAATATACGTGTAACTAATTATTTGTGTTTATGCGGGTGAAAGTGTGGTCACACAATCTCAAAAACCAATGCAGAGTGAAAGTATTTTGAAAATACAGTACTTAAAAAGTATATGGGGCATAACAGATTATGGAATGTGTAAAATTACAGTGATTAGCTTCTTGGTATTCTATACGCAGCTTTATTCCAGTGACGTCATTGAAGGACAGGACGATATTAAGAGGTTTAATAGGTTCTAAGTACCTGGACTGACTCAAGATATTGTGTGGTGGGTTTTGTGACGACGGGCATTGAACTCTGGTTTTATGACACATTTCCTTGATTAGCCGACACCCGTTGATGGACCATAGGAGCTCCGTACCAAGTAGTTACTTGGCAGTTTGTTCTCAGGTTCATTCGAGTATGTGAAACCAACAAGACACGTCACATAAACCCACAAAAATATTTATGTTGATTTATAAAACAAAAGATAAAATGTTCCTTTTATTTGTTGTTCCTGCCTGCAGGCATCTGGCCAAAGATCAACAACACCCCAAATAAACCCTGAAGCACTGTTAAGCCAGGAGAGGGCACAACAGTCAAATAACGTGGCTCCGGTTCCACCACCAGGACAGGAGAAACATGAGGATGGCAATGAAAAGATGGATCCTGAGGTACCCAATCTCCCAAGACCTGCCATGGAAGACCCCTCAAACAAATGGAAGCACCGTCCCAATGTGCCAGCAGAAGCTGTACCTGGTCTGCAAGGACACGTGTACCACCAAAATGCACAGGTAAGAAAGGTGGATGGAAGCAAGTTTAGCTGTTCAAAACATGTACACAGTTTTTGATATTCATCAGATATTAGGATAATCAAATCATGGAAGACAGGATGGGCAGAACATGTAGCACAGACAGATGAGATGATAAATGGGTACAGAATTTTGGATGAAAACCTGAAGGGAAGAAACCACTTGGGAGATGGAAAGATAATGTTATTATGGATCCTAGAGAAAAATTGTGCGTAAGGATATTGACTGGATTCATCTGCCACAGGTTAGGATCATTGGCAGTCTTTCATGATGAAAAGAGTGATTTTAAACTCTTCAAGAAGTAACTTAAAAAGAATTAAACTCATTATACATCAGGGCTGTAGTACACATTTTCTTTCCTCCACACATTGCTTTTAACAATTTTCATTCAACTTATGCATTTATAAGAAGGATGCTTCCTTGTTTTGTTTTCTCTCGATTTTTACAATTTTATCTATCGTTGCGCAGTATAAATCTTTTTGCCTGAATGTGAGCCTACCGCACGGAACAGTCCACAGTCAGAGGTATTATGGGAATGAGTAATATGATAAGCAGTGGTTTTCATGGCCGTGAGTCTGAAGATGGCTGTCTTCTGGGTTGTTGTGCCAGACTACACTGCGCAACAACCCAGAAGACAGCCATCTGCATGAAGATGTTTGTGCTCAGATAGGATTTTAATTTAGCATTCATTTTTTTTTCTCTCTTGTTATTCTGAATGATTTAATCCATATGAGCGTTATGTTTGGCCCCTGGTAATATCAAAGTGTAAGTTATTTTTCTCAGTTTGTGCAGTTTGATATGAATTGTGAATGTGTTCTGATTTATTTCATTCATTCATTTTGAATATTTGCTCGAGTACACTGTCTTGATCCGCATTTGAACTTTGGATCATAAATTGTCAACTAAATGTAAGAAGATTTTGAGATATAAGTACCATCTAAATGCTCTGCACTGAAAATGTCGGATTATAGGCTTTAGAAAGAAAGAACCAAGAGGCATTGTTACATTGCAGGCTATGGCACCCAACAAGAATGTAGAGAGCCGTGTAGCCGACCGCTGGTCTTGGCCACGGTTCCAGTTCATGCCACAACCCATTGCTGCTAATGTACGGGAGAATAATCCATTGGATGACAATGGACCGGAAGACGAGGAGGAGGAAGTGGACCCAGCCCATCCTCATCGCAGGTAACATTTTAATTTCATTTTAAAAGTGAGGATTGCTCTTGGCCTCCTAGCTTTCTCATTTGACTTTGCGGAAATGGGCATCAAGTTTGTTGCAAAATAAAACAAATAAGTCGCAAAATCAGCAGGGAACTGGTTTGTGAACCTGTCACTAGGAGAGTTCATGAGAGACTGACGATATTCAGCTGCAGGAAGTTACAGTACATGACAGATGGTGACATCACAAAGAAGCTAGTGGCAGATCAGAAATAATGATGTTTAAAAGTGGATAATAAATTGGGAAATCAGTGGATATTGAGGGCCTACTGTAATAATTATATTTATTCAGCGTGTGTGGTGAAAATGGATGACATGAATGATATGGATGTGTAGAACACCACAAAATGAAACAAAATTGTAGAGGTGCCAAGTCTGCTGGAAGTTGTCATCACCGAGATATAGGCCCAGGAAGTGCCATCAAAATTGGACAACAATTTGGCAAGTTGCAGTGGTTCAGAAACGGGTTATCTTGATGTATGACGACAATCACGAGCAGAAATATGGCTGAATGACGGCAGGTGGCAAGCATTGACAATTATGTTTGATCGAAAACAGTAACACTGTGTAGGAAGTATGCATATACGAGGTGCGATCGGAAAGTTTCCAGACTGTGTCAATAGAGGGCGAACCGGATGTAGTACAAGCTTTTGCCGCTAGGGGGTGCGGCCTACATTCATAGTGAATCAGTGTGCCAGCCGGCATCATCGAATTAGCATTTGTTTCTTAGTTACGGGCGTTTTGGTAGTGCATTACACCGACCCTCCTGCGATTTCGGAATGGCGTGTGCATCAAATTTTGCCAAAGACTCGCCAAAACGGCTACGGAAACCTATGAAATGCTAAAGCAAGCATTTGGGGAGTCCGCAAACTTTGGTGTGGCATTCACGTTTTAAAAATGACCGAACCTCTGTCGATGATGACGAGAGTTCTGGACGACCATCTTCGAGCACAACGCCCGAAAATGTTACGAAGATCGACGTCGTACCATCAACGACTTGTGCGACATTGTTGGGACCTGTCAGCTGATTCTAAAGGAAGAACTCCACATGCGACGCATCCTGTCAGAGGACCAGAAGCAGAATCGACTTCTCGTTTGTCAGGAGCTCAAAGATCTTGCAAGAACCGACCCCAACTTCCTTTCTAAGCTCCGTGTGACTTCTTCCTCTTCCCAAAGATGAAAATTCAGCTAAAGGGAAGGAGATGTGAGACGATAGAAGAGATTCAGGCAGAATCGCAGATGGTGCTTGACAGGCTGACAAAGAAAGATTTCCAGGGATGCTTCCAGGCTTGGCAGCGGCGCTGGGATCGTTGTGTTCACTCCCAGGGGAACTACGTCGAGGGTGATGGATGAATTTAATACCTGAGATAAGTGCACGGGTTTTTATACGCGCAGTCTGGAAACCTTCCGATCGCACCTCGTATGATAGCAAATTTCCACTTCGATACTCTACAAAGATGTGTCATTATTTTCACATTCAGGTGGTTTTATCGCCAATGAAAGTGCATCAACAGCACTTAGATAAGAAGGTGTGTGTGGCATGGAGCAAATGTGGGCGTGATGATGAGTAAAATCAGTAGATCTACTGCTGTCTGGAATCGAATCGTGGTCGTTAAGCCCATAGCGAGTTACCACCAGTGCCAGGTTTATCAGGACTCTAATAATTTAACGTGGCTTCTAGTTTAAAATAAGCTCTTTAAGAAGATGATTTTCGTTCAGCGGATCAAGAAACTTCCCGCTTTCTTATGAAACCCAAAGGTCATTACCACGTTCAAAAAAGCCATCTACCGAGCCCTATAATAAATGAATTAAATCCAATCCACAATTACACACCCTATCCATTAATTCTCATCAGAATGAGTTCATATGAAACAGCATTACAGTAAATAAATAATATTTTCAAAGGAAAATTCACTATTTACTACTATATATGTAAGATATAGCCACGGTGGTCTAGCGGTAAAACGCTGGCCTTGTAATCCTGGGGTCTCGGGTTCGATTCCCGGCGGTGCCCGAATTTATAACTTGTGTTGGGCAAGGCCGTGGTCTAGGCAACACGGAAGTTTTCCTCCGTGGCATCCCAACAATTACTCCATTCACACACAGAAGAAGGCAATGCCAAACCACTTCTGGATCATCTGCCAAGAACGTATATGAACAGGGCCCAGTCCGAGAAAAAGAGGGAAGGATCCTGTTCATATGGACCTGTCATCAGACAGAACACTAAATAATAATAAAACCATTGTTACACATTTTCGTTTCACTTTTTGTCGTATGACACTGACCCTAAAATATAGACGTATTTACGTCAAAAAATTAAGCCTGCTTTAAGATAAATAATAGGGTGTAGGCCCAATCACTGTTACTCTGTGAGTCATATGAAACCAATAAATAAGGGTAAAGAGGTGGTTTACTGATTTTTGAATCACCTGGTACTAGTTACAACTGGCTAAGTGTCGGTAGAGTGTATAACACCGTAATGTTATTAACAGTAGATTCGTTTATACGCTGTTCCTCGCTGTACAGCAAAGCCTACTATAGTTGAAAAATGTTTATTGTCCCATTGTTGATTTATTGCAACTGAAATCTCATTGTTGCGAGGTTAGTCACACTAAAGATAGAAGGTTGGCTGTCTTCTGGGTTGTTACTCCGTAAATGTAACAGATTACACGGCAGAATAATCCAGAAAATCATCCATATTCACGTCACTGCTGAAATCTCAGATCTTACAAGCACAGAGAATTCTTTACGTTCATCTTTTTGCAATTTCTGCGAGGAATTCATGGACTCAAAATATTTTTCTGTTTCATATATGGATGGGTTTGCTTGTCAGTGGAATTGAATTCCTCAGATATGTCTAGAAACCATGTATGAGATTGCAAAAGAATTCAACCCTTTTCTTATCAGCCTGCTACCTGTGGAATGTGGTTCTTGAGGAAAGCTCCGCTCACATACGAGGTGGTTCATTTGGTATACGGTGTGTGCCTTCTCGAGACCGACAGACTGGCGCCAGGAGAACAGTTGGGAGGGGGGGACAGACTGCTGGTTAGGAAGGCGGTGAACATGGCCGCGGAGCGCACGGTTATTGGTAGCTCTGCGACAAGGAAGTCCTGCAGTGCACATGGTTGGGCACAACGCGCTCACATAATGCATCTTGCTTGCTAACAGGCTATGTACAGTTCATAGTGTGTATTTTGAGTGTGGTAATTACCAGTCCACACTTCATACCCTGTTTCTCTGAGATCTATTTTAACTGTATCAAACTGAAGTTTATCTAAATAATGTTCAAGAATGCAGTCTGCACCTCGAAGAAAATGCAGCGCATCTCTATTACAAAGCTCATTTAATTAATTCCCTTTAAGGACGTAAACACTGTTTACTATGAGAATCATATAAAATGCACAAATACAAAACTGCAGAGTTACTGATTATTAAAACAGGTGGTACATTTAGTTACCATTGGGCTTTAAAGAGTTATTATTATTTTCTCATCTTTGCCTGGGTGTCTGAAGTGGTCGTTTGCTCTGAGATTTTCTGACCAAAATTTTGTTTGTGTTTCTCATCTTCACCATATTCTGCCTATCTCGATATAGATGATTTGATACCCTGCGAATTATACCAGAAATCTTTTCCTGTGGTACTGGACAGGAGGAGGGGTTAGAGTGAACTGTCTGTTGCTAAGCAGTCCTGTTTGTGTGCACAGCGAACATGGAGAGCAACAGGAGATCCCACGGCAGCTCCACAACCCGTACCAGTACAACGGGGCTGATTATGACAAGGAGGCACCCCGGGGTGACCTACAGTTGGAGGAGGGAGAGGAGGAAGGTAAATGTTCTTGTTTGCTGCAAGTCATTTTGAACCAAGAAGCAGTAACATTTTTTATGATTTTTATTCTTGATCCTTTCTGTTAAATTGTAGGATACGACAATGAAATAGGCTGATTTGTTCGTATCCTTCCCAGTTGATAATCATCCTCACATTTCATCATTTTCAGTCAAGGATGGATGCACGGGTACTCTTGAAAGTAAATCTTAGATCTTATTTGTCTGGTATGAGCCGGGATAGCTCAGTCAGTATAGTGACTAGCTACGGGCTGGACGACCGGGGTTCGATCCCCGACGGGGGCAGAGGCATTTTTATGATCAGTTATTTCAGTGTAAACATTATTTTAAAACAATTCCCTATTGGTTTATGTTTCCTTATGTCCTAAATTATGCATTTAGATTTATGTTTTGAGGGAAATCAGAGAGAGATGGCTTCCAGGGTAACATAGTGAGTGTTTTAAATAAAATAAACATCCATTATTTCCTAAAAGGTATTACATTATATGACTATTGATATTCATGTAAGCTTTGGTTTCTAAAGTCTTCAATATAGTCTTGGATGAGCCGGGATAGCTCAGTTAGTATAGTGACTAGCTACGGGCTGGACGACCGGGGTTCGATCCCCGACGGGGGCAGAGGATTTTTCCTCTAGCCTCTGTGTCCAGACCGGCTCTGGGGCCCACCCAGCCTCCTCTACAATGGGTACCGGGGCGTGATGCTGACCACTCACCCCCATCTAGTGCCGAGGTCAAGGAAGAGAGGAGCTATACCTCCACTCACCCCAAGCGCCTACATGGCGCATAGCGGGACAAACTTTACTTTACTTTACTTTGTCTGGTAAATGTCCCCCAGTCTGTGACATGGACTCTGCTTCTGTGCAACTAAATCCTAGTGTACATTTCATACGCTCGGAGGGTCTGCATTCTCATCCACCCCTGTTCCTGCCATTTGTTGCTTCGGTAAAGTTTCACAGTAAACGCTTGTGGGAACATCGCACGAGATGGTGCCACATTAAATGATGATTGTCACAGAATACTTTAAAAGTTTTATCTGAACAGTCTTTGGGTAGAGACCAGATGGTAATACCTGTGAATTGCTGGCACCTGTTTTTACAGTCTGTGGTGCGTCTTAATTGTTTTACACATCTTAACTGAATGCCCGTGTCATAACAAAGTTCATCTTCGTTCCATCTTCTTCACAACGCATTGCATGACGTGATTGGATGCAGTCACGATAGCGTGTCTGAGGTGGTGGCACTTTAAAATGTAAAATTTAGTGGGTGTGGTTTTATGTAAGTGACAACTTGTTTATACAGCCTTACTTCATTGTCGTTAAATTTTTGGGAAATCCTGGAGTGAATAGGCCACTCAGAAGACCTAGGCATAGATGGTTCTTAGGGAAATGGGGTTTGCGGAGGTGGGTATATCGGATTGATCTGATTTAGGATAGGGTCCAACGTCAGGCTCTTGTGGAAAAGGCAGTGCACTTTTGGGTTCTAAAAAAGTGGAGAATTTTTATACAACATTATTTTATCTTATTACTATTATTACATTTTAGTGTACCATCCACTTGGGATAAGTTTTAATCTCCCAAAGTTCAGGCACAGTTTACTTCTTAAATTTAAATTTATGATGTTGACACATGTTTAAACCCCTGGAGGAACTGAGGAAACTACTGTAAACCTGTAAGATTTGAGGTTTTCACAGCGGTGAGTATGAAGATTCCTGTCTTCTGGGTTGTTACGCTGTGTAGTCTGGTCGATATTAACCAACGTTTCAGACGTCATACTGCCTCCGTCATCAGGGCGATGAAGATTTCTGTCTTCTGGGTTGTTGCGCTGTGTAGTCTGGTCGATGTTTACCAACGTTTCGGAGGTCATACTGCCTCCGTCATCAGAGTATGAAGATTTCTGTCTTCTGGGTTGTTGCGCTGTATAGTCTGGTCGATGTTAACCAACGTTTCAGAGGTCATACTGCCTCCGT